ACTGCCACATTTATAGACCTAGAAAAAGCATTCGACTCGGTATGGCTCGAAGGCCTTATCTATATCCTACTAAAAAAGAATTTTCCTATTTCTCTTATAAAAACGATATGGAGCCTGCTTAAGGACAGGAAATTCATCACATGGGACGGCAAGACCTCTTCAGACATCACTTTCAAGATTTTAGAAGGACTACAACAAGGACTGGTCAACTCTCCAGTCCTTTTTAACATCTTTACAAGCGACATTATCAACTCATTTCATCTGAATCAAGACAACGGCACTCACTCTATCGCATATGCCGATAATGCGATCATCTACGTAGTCGGGCAATACGCAGACGAAGTCAAAGATAAACTAGAAGATCTTGTCAACAAGATCAACAAGATTTTCGCCACATGGAATCTACGAATGAATCCGTCTAAGTGTGAAACCATCGTCTTCCGTGTTCCTGCCAGAACAGTGACCAAGACCAAGAGGGTAAAAATTGAGAACTTCACTATCTGTACGTTCAACCCGGACACGAAAGCGCCAGTCACCATCCCGACCAAAGGTAGTGTCAAATACTTGAGCGTTGAAATTGACTACCTGGCCCGGTGTTCCAAACACATCACCCAGCAGGTCACAAAAGCCAAAAATTCGAGCAGAGCCCTGTACAGGCTCTTCCACAGTAGATATCTGAGCACACGAGCCAAAATTATCTGCTACCTCCTTCTGATAAGACCTATATTAACCTACGGTGCCCCAGTTCTTTGTAACCTGGGCGCAGCCCAAATGGAAAATCTAAGAAAACTGGAAAGAGCCTGTCTAAGGGTTGCCCTAAGAAGATATAAATCTATCGAATCCCAATACACGCGAAATGTCAAAAACTTGGATTTATACAACGAGGCGAAAATCCTGAGGATTGATAACTTCTGGCTTAAACTTACTAGGGACTACTTCGCCAAGCTGAAGTCCATCGACAATAGTCTAATCCAACGTCTCAGTGTAGTAATCTCGGTCCAAGTGAAAGAAAACGCCCAGACAGGGTACCTCCAACCACAAGACTTCACAGTCCTTGACAGACAAGGCGTGATTCAAGATCATTTCAATATGCCTGTTATTTATCATAAAAGCAGACATATGAGTGACAAAAAAATTCTCTGGTCAGAGAATCAAAATTACACTGAATTAAAATACTCCAAGGCCATCCCAGACCTAGACAAAAACAACTTTTACCGGCTGGACAAAAAGTTCTGGTGGCTAGATCCGAACTCCCCCCAGATGAAGAAACTAAGAAATCGGCAACTCGAACTCAACAACCCACAACACAATTAAGCACCAAATCAAAGTGTATTGCCTCTGTAAATAGTGTAAAATTTGTAAATAATTCCTTAGTTTATAGTGATTAGTTATTAAGTTAGTTTGTAAGTTCTTAAATTACAGAGTAAAGATATGGTTTTTTTTTTCTATTTTTCCATAAAATCAAAAAAATTCTTATCTCACGAACGAGTGGAACTATAGCCTCGGCTGCACCAAAAACAATTATTTCAGAACCAGATTAATATAAAAAAAAAAAAACCGTGAGTCAAAACTTGTGCGTACCATAAACTGCGGTCTTTTCTAGTTTAAATGATTTCTTATTTCCATTACTCAAAATTGTATGGCTTCTTTAATTTCGGTTTGTTTAGCCAATCACTCATGTATTAATAATGTAAGAAGTATTATTTTTTCTGAATAAACAAACATTTAAACAAAAAAAAAAAAGAGTACTGTACTACTATCTTCGTCATTGCTACGGTATTGACGTGACACCAGTGCTGCCTTATCTGCCAGGAGATATTCCCCAGGTTGTTGAGAATGACAGTTGCAAAATCTATTGGAACATGCCATTTGCAACAACCCGGCGGATAGATCACAACAAACCTGATATTGTGCTCTTCGACAAGGCTACTCGTGACATTTATGTCATAGAGTTTTCGGCCCCGGCTGAATACAACATCTCAGCCAAAGAAGAGCACAAAAGACAAATATATCAGGATCTCCTGTTTGAAATTGGCAAACTTTACCCAGGTTACCGTGTCAAGCTTGTCGTCTTGATTGTTGGCGTCCTTGGAGGAATGAAACAGTCTTTTGTATCCTCACTTGCCAGAGTTCCAGCTTGCTCATCAAAAGCTGAGTTCTTGGCAGTCAGGATGCAAAAGGCTGTGATACTAGGTTCCCTCCGTCTACTTAGGAAAATGACTTTGGCCTGCTGTGATCACTAACCGCCTTGTTGTGCGGAGTGGTCCAGCAGTAATGGATGGAGCTCAGGCTGGGCCCTCGGAGAGTCGGACTCCGGGGACAACCCCCCTGAGCATTTAATAACATAACAATAATAATAATAATAATAATAATAATAATAATAATAGCGTAATACATTCAGCAATATTTTATTGTTTTAAAGAATAATGTCGCGGAATAAAAAAAAATGCAAAAAAATATAACATCATGGGATAATATTTACTTATTATAGAAAATTGTATATTTAAAATTCTTACTTGTGCAGAATGTCAAGTGTTGAATAGCTTAATATTCACATTAATCGTCACTTATTTTAAACACAAAATAAAATATAATTAATTTTCTCAGCACGTGTCAAAAACTGATTAACAGAGCCTCTGTGCAAGCTTTTTCGTAACTGAGTGGTGTACCTTTAATTTGGAGGTTAAACTACATGCGTCGTGGTAGGGTTACTACCGCCTCCTCCAACAGGCCCTTTTAGTCTTGATCGATTAATCTCGAATATAATCGACTTAATACTTATTAATATCTTATAATACGGGAGTATTTATTAATATTGTTATTATTATTTTTTTCCATTTATTAATTGATTTATTTGTACTGATATCTCTTTATTATAAATCAAATAATCTATCATAATGTTTTAAGGACATTATCATTATAATTTTCCAAGGAGGTTATCGAAATTATTTTCTTATGTAATTGTGCATGTCAACGGAGCGATCAGCCGATCACAGCTTCGATACATGGCGTGATCGGTCAAGCTAAGTTTTGTGCAGGCGGTTAATTTTAGCGGGAACCAGCGGTTGACAGGTGCGGCTCGTAAATTTGGGAGTCCCCCAAGGGTGACTTCATCGCGGCTGGGCCTGTTCACTGAACATAATTTATGAAAAATTTGATGAAACAAAATTTTTCTTTCTTTTTTCTCTTGCCGTGAATTGCTACAGTTGAACACAAATTTTAACTCAATATTTAAAAAATGGAAAATCCATTTAAAGTTATTGTTCCCTATGAAAAACAGATTCAGCACTACAATAAATAAAAATGTAACGTTAAACATTTATTTTATTAATAATTAACAAAAAAATAAAAATTACCAATTTAAAAAAAATTAATAAAATTATTATTATAAATATTACAGATTGGTAGTAGAACAGATAATTAGTACAGGAATATATGCAAATAATCAAATTGAAACTTATTTATTGAACTTTCAGATC